ATCTATTAAACTCCTTCGAGAGTTAATCTGTACGTAAATCGATAAAACGATGTTATATAAATTCTTTCACACACATCTAGAGTAGCGGTCTTCTCAAACTTGTATCTAGAAATAAAATGACTTTCAGGAGTCCCCAAATTTTTCCTGGCTGAAGTCAAAGATTTGTGTTGGGAATAAGGAGCATAGCATTACGGGCTGAACAGTAGTAACTTTAGATTTAAGCTAGAATTAAGGGTTTAGGCTTAGGATCAAGAATCAGTGTTTAAGCATGTGTTATATATATATTATCTGAATACAAAGTGTTGAGTACGTTGATACTTTTAGTGCCATTTTCAATCCTAAATTAACATGATGAAAGATAAAATTCATTTGTTCTGGAATTTCTCACTAAAACATGAAGGTCATTTCCTCACTTCTGATTGCTTCATCTCTATACTATAATTTAACCAAACGGTCAACAGTTATGTTCATTTTATGATTAACAGTTATCAATCCTGACTGCTTTATCTGTCAGCTTAACTACAATCGATTATATGTTCTGTTAACATTATATGTGTCCTGTCTAATAGTAAATATGAATCAAGTAGATGACACAAACCCGTCACTTTACATATCTTAATAATAGAAAATAACAATTGGTAGGCTTAAATAATAACGATCAGTTTGAATGACAAATTCATGATCTCTTTCAGACAATCAAAGGACGAAAAACATAGAGGAATGATCTTTAATGTGTTGACATGGTTTACACTTTCATATTGAGATAGCGTTTAAAGGTCGCTGTAATAGATAACTAAGGTGTCTATCGTAAGTCTAACGCTAATTATAAATCTCAAGCATCCAGGTTCAATAAGTGACACTCTATTCTGATAAATAAGCCATGACCTACAAACAATTGAGTAATTAACAAAAATACCATTGAATGTTTAAACATACTCATTAGTAGAACAAATATTTGATAACCTAGCAATATGAGTAGAAAGGGATAATGGATAGTACCGTTCGCTTCAAACGCCATCACGTTATCCATTTACCTACTGAGTTCTGATAGCCACTTGCTTGTACAATAGGGTGAAGTTTTAATTCACTTAGTATTGTTTACTTGAATCTTCCCATTGATGTTTTAGGACTGAAATTTATAAGTCTGTTATTAGCATATGTACATTCTCTGAGGATTGCCTCGATATTGTTTTAATTCACAAGCGTTCTAAGCAAATATATATAGTGCCTAGCAATGAATAATCGAAAATGTTTGAAGTGAACGGTACTAAGTTCGAGTTCTAGAGTGTACATGAACCTGAGATGTAGATACATCCATCTGACGAATACCAAATAGGACGAAACGTGCTAATCACCATCCATCTCTGTTGGAAGATTTAAGTAAAACAATACCCAGTAAATGTAACTAACTGTATGCATTACATAATCGAAATAATAAAACATTTTCATGTTCACATGTTACGAAAAATAGAAAAAAAAGATCCGTTTTTTTTCTCAATGACACATGAATGTAAACTTCTATGAAGAAAATAAGAAAAACCCCACTTTGTTTTAAATGTTAATGTATAAAATTCAATTTATTCATTGTATATTTTACTTTAAAATTATGTTAAGCACACATATTTTTAATGTTAGAATACATATATGCCATGTGAATTAGTTACTGATTACTAAATGTAAACTAATCTATATTATCAGAAGGGGTTTTGTGGAGATTTTAGAAATTTCACTGAATGAAATCATGAGTCAATTGAAGCTAGAGTACTATGGAAAGCCCTGAAGCACTGGACGGCCGTTTCATCCTAGTATGGGACTCCTCAGCAGTGCGCATCCACGATCCCGCACCCCACGAGATTCGAATCCAGGACCCGCCAGTCTCGCGCCAAACACTTAACCAACTAGACCACTGAGCCGGCGTCCAACGGTGGTAATGTCTAACTTCAACAAATCAACGAAGTCGCGCCACCGTACACCACTGTCTTCAGTGAGTTGATATTTCACAACAGACCTGATTGAACTCCACTGGTAATGGCTTCCCACTAGAACTCCAGGAGTATCACTTGAAATCAGTCACTAGTGAGCAGATGATTATTATCAGAATGGGTTTTGTGGAGATTTCAGAAATTTCACTGATTGAAATCATGAGTCATTTGAAACTAGACCACTATGGAAAACCTGGAAGCACTGGATGGCCGTTTCGTCTTAGTATGGGACTCCTCAGCAGTGCGCATCCACGATCCCGCATCCTGCGAGATTCGAACCCAGGATCTATCTATATTATACCATTCTATATTCAATATCCATTATTTGCGCTTGTTAATTCACATGAAGAAGTATAGGCTGTTCACCAGTAGTCTTCGTGTCCTAAGTAATCCTTTCCAGTTGTTTCTAGTTACTATCCGTTTTTTCTATGTCTGTTTCAAATTCTTAATGTGGTATGTGTTTTTTGATCTTCCGCTTTTTTTGTTTGGTTTGTGACATAGTTTAATGATTTCCTCAATGTCTGTTCTATCCACTTCTAAGGTCTTTTCTTAATTCCCTCCTCAGTTGAAAGTTGATTTATTCTCTTCAACAGTAGGTTGTTGCTAATAATATCCGATCAATGAGCATTAAGTATCTTGTGTAGATAATCATTTATAAATACTTATACCTTTTTGATGATGGTTGATACAAGTATTTATAGATAATCCATTGATCATAATTCTATTTGTTGTGATATTCTAATGAATAGTAATTAGTATTTCTGATGTTTTCCGAGTTACCAGAATAAATAAACACAAGTTTAAAGAGTACTGAAAGGACCAAGTGTTAATGGCGGTCTCAAGCTGAGATAAAAGAGGAGGGTTGAGCATGAAGTCAGCAACACCATCCCGTAGAAAAAACCTTTATAAATTAAGTCTTACCAGAAAAAACGAACTGAACTATTTAAACTCTGTCCTGGGAGTTGAAAGATATTCATATAGAAGGGTTATCACACCTCATTCCGGAAACCGTGATTCTTCAGAAATCACGACGCTGAATAAGAAATTAGGAATAGATGCTGCATGTGGATAGGATATACATTAAGGAAATCATCAAACTGCATTACGAAGAAAACCCTAACATTGAATCCTGAAAGCAAGTGGAAAAGATCAAGACTAAGGAAGATACTGCATCAAGAATAGGGAACATCTTTCCTCTTCAACCTTGAAATAAGCATTAAAAGATTTTTAGGAGTTTCCATATTGTTCTTCTCTAAGTTTTTACATTAGAGTCAAGGTATTCATCATAGTCTGACATTAGCTATCCTGCATGAATGCGTTGTAGCCATATGAATGAATAAATAAATGAATTTAACACAAAAACCTATGGGATACTATCTTAAATCTCATTGGTTAGTCCATTAAGTATAGCGCCATCGAATTAGTAATTTAGTATTAGTATTTACAGATGGTGTTGGTCTGCTCTTTATTGTACTATCTACAGAAGGCAAATCAAGCATCTGATACGTTTAATACTATCACTTTTATTCTATGATATCAAAAAAATTATTCCCCATTGTCATTTTAAGCATTCTGTTATGTTCTGATGTCCTGTTAATTATCACGTGATGAAATCACCAATCAGAACACCGACTTATACGACCTTGGCACCAGTACCATCGGTCTAGAGTCAACGTTGAGTTCTTATTGGTCCTCTGAGATAGTAGCCTCTTGACTAACTTAGCCGGTTTATTCCAGAAAACCAATATCATTATCTTCTATATAAATCATATATTTCAGACATACTTGGTTTATATACAGGCCAAACAGATCACATTACGCTATAAAATAGAAAATAACGATTATACCAGATCAAGCCAAAAATGGCTGTGAGCGTGAAAGACTATAGCTAATATTTGCCTGGTACCTGTATGTCAGACTAATTTCAACTTGTTCATTATTCATTGATTTTAAGTTTATGAATTTATATATGTCAAAAGAAAGCGGTGAGGCATGAACTCAAGAGGCTTCTAGAAAATAAAATAAAAGCTAACCGTATTTTCCCCTAGATGCATAAATTTAACATGTTTTATTGATTTTCATTGGACAATGTTGGGTCGGCTTCCGGAGAACTTCAACGGAGCCTCCAGAGGCCCAAAAAGGAGCCGAAGGGCCCTAGCCAATCAGAGTATGATGGAACGTTCGAGAATTCCAGCGTGGCGTGCTACCATTGGTCGGTAGCATAATATGACGTTAACGGATTGGCTGAAATATGATGTTGATTTAACAGACGCCAACATCTATAAATACCCTTGATTTTCTGTACTAAAATGAACCTAGGGATAAAGTGTTTTCTCTCATACTTGTGTCTTCTCTCTGGAGTTCAAGTCGCTGTGTAGCTCTAGTCTGCGGGTTACAGGAACAGCTCAGGAATCGTATATAGCGTTCAACCTACACGACTTATCAAACAACGTAAGAATGTCCAATTATCCATAAATTTGATTCGATCATTTACTAAATAATCATTTACTTTAAATAATTGAGAGCATGAGTCAATTGAAGGTAGACAACCATGGAAAATATGAAAGCACTGGGCGGCCGCTTCGTCCTATCGAGGAACTCCTCGGCAGTAACCCCTATTCCGCCTTGCGTGTTTTGAACCCTGGATCTATCGGTCTCGCGCACGAACGCTTAATCTCTAGACCATCTAGCCGGCCGGTATCTGTGTTAAAGCCTAACTTCAACTAATCCACGAAATTGAGCGACACATGCACCATTGTCTTCAGTGAATTACTATCTCACAACAGACTCGATTATTGAACTCCACTATTTCCTGCTCCTTACTGGAACTCCAGGAAATACCTTTTGAGGAATCCTACAATAGGACGAAACGTCCGTCTTGGGCTTCCAGGTCTTCAAAGGTTTTCTAGCTTCAGTTAACTCACGATCTCAACTATTAAAATTACTATAATATCCACAAAATCTCGTTTGATATTAATCATTTATTTGTTTATTTCCTTCAAATTTTACTATTTCTAGTCAATTACTGATTCATTACAACAACTTAAAAGACCAGAAGAAGATATTGATATAATATATTCTACTGAAATTATTGCACCACCAGCAATTCCAACTAAAATGTCATCTGATCCAAATAATCCTATTTATGTGAATCATTCAATTAAACCAAATAGACCACCAACTATAGATAGAAAAGAAACTGATGTAAGTTAAATCATTTTGAACAATATAAAATTACATTATACTCTTATTTATTTACTGTGTATGTAATCATTTCAATAAGTAATATATTAACCATAAACATCAATTGGTCAATACATTTACAAAAAGAAGAGACTGATATGTCCTGAATTCAAATCTTGCAGAGTGCAGGATCATGGATGTTCACTGCTGAAGAGTCTCATACTAGGACGAAACAATTATTCAGTGTTTCAAGATTTCCCATGATGATCTAGCTTCAATTGACTTATATTTTTTCACTTTTCTAATCAGATGAGAAAGTTGTTACTAATGAATTCTTTGAATATTCTACTCGTAAAGTGTAATATTCAAATCTTGAAAGATTAATATTCACTGTAATAGATACATATGAGTTTATTCATAATATTTCCAGTGATAGATGAATGTGTTGTATCCTGAAAGTTTGATCATTTTCATAGTTATTTCATTTGATAGATGCTTGATACATCATAATATTGAATTTTCGCTAGAGATTTCATTTTATAATGTAAACATTCAGTATATTTATGGGTGTTTTTCATTTAGATATATTATATTAACACGTTCATAGTGAACTGTTATGGTTGGCTGAGACAGAAATTACTATAACATAGAGCATATTTAGATGAACTGAATACAACATAGAAAATGTTGAGAATAGCGATGTTTCTGTGGGAATAAATCGATTGAATCGATCGAAGGTACACAGTTAACTAGTATCAGAAGGAGTTTTGTAGAAATTGAGTCAATTGAAGCCAGATCACCATGGAAAACCTGGAAGCACTGAATAGCTAACTAATTGTTGCTTACAGTTTCAAAATATCTTACATAAACTAAATATTGAGATGGTAGAGAATATTTGTATCTCAGGTGGATGATTTTGATGAAGTTTTGTTCTGTGAACTTGATGGTTTGATCGTGAAGCTTTCATCGTTACTCTGAACGACATCATCAGCACAAATGTTAGGTAGAAGTGAAGTGTTTGAATTTCTCCACATATGACTCACAGCTTATCCTGTAAACCTCAATATTAATTGGTTATTGTTGACATTTAACCTGTTATGGTTTGCTTCTTTATTTTGAATTTATCTCGTATTGATTTGATTTTTGGTCCTATATTTGTCCGTAGTTTTGTGAATGATTGATAAAGTTGATCGTCTTCAATGTGTTTGTTGATTGTTGATTGACCTGAGTGCCAAGCTTTTAAAAATTCTCTCTTTTTAGAATTGCATCTATTCAAGCTCTCAACATTTTCCGAGTCGACTTTGTGTTCGCAGTTGTCCACATGCATTGATGTAAGCGAGGATATGTCATTGCGTTTGACCGTTAACTAATGTTCTTGTATGCGAAGATGAAAAGCGCGTCCAGTTTGTCAGATGTAGTGTTTTTCTCACTCGGAACAATTTATTTTGTATATGATATTCGGTTTTTCCTTCTTTTTTCATTTCATCCTTTGGTTTGCATAGGATTGATTGAAGTGATTTTACTGGTTTGTATGCTACATCTATTCTAAAAGGCTTCAACAATCTCGTTGTAATTTCTGATATCATGAGATGATCCCTTTGTTGGTTTCTGTGCTTGATTTTGTTCCTGCTGCTGCGTTTGGTTGGCATTTTTTGATCAGGTTGATTGAGTAGTCGTTCTTTTGAAAGATAATCTTCAGACATTTTTCTTCACTTTTCCGCGCTGCAAGTGTGTTACACTATGTCCTCGCCTTCTTGAACAAGGTTTGTATGCAGTTGGTTTTGTGAGCTCTTGGGTTGTCGCTACTGTAATTTAAAGTTTGATCTGTGTTGGTCGGCTTCCAATATATGTGAGCCTCCAGTTTTCCCGTGTCGGTTCTGATAATTATTGCATCTAAGAATGGTAGTTTGTCGTTTGGCTCCTGTTCCATTTTGAACTAGATGTCATCAAAGACGTTGTTCATCAGATTGTAGGTGTTTTCCAGCTCGTCTGTTTTCACGATGACGAATGTGTTGTTCACATGAAGAATCCAAATTTTTTTGGTTTGATCACTAGCAAAATCGGGGCTTTCAGTCTCTGCATCACTGCTTCTGCAATAACTAGATTGTTAAAATAAAACCGGTAGAACGCAGTGGAGTTGACCAGCATTGTTTCTTCCCGGTTTGATATGTGAACGTCTATCAAACAGATTTCGAATGTTATTCAGTGATGAAAATTAGGAGTATAAAAATTGATTATTCTGATCGGAAATCTCTGAAGAAATATGTATAAAATTTATTTCTATTTTCTGTCATTCATATGGTTGTCCAAAATTTCAACTGGAATAATGTTGCAGTTAGATATATGAGAACTGTTACTTCTCATCTGCATACACTTTTTCCGTGGTACCTGTAAAACCAACCATGTTAGTAGTGGTTCTGACGATCACCTAACTTTACTGCAGTACTTAAAAGACAACTGCTTGAGGCTGGTTACATACAGCCTTTTTACGAGTAGTTTTATGTTGGTCAGTCCCATACTCTAAAAGCTTCAGTGAATACTACGAAACTCCATGATATAAAGTGATAAGTGCTATTTCTAACCCTCTTCTTTCATTATGGTAAGAAAACACCACTGAAGAAGTTAGTCATCCGAGGGAAGCACTCTATTATAGTCACACTTTTGTACTATCAGTAGTATGACTTCTCTTTATGGCTCTAAGTTTATTGCTTATAGTCGCATTTCTCTCCAACTAGTTTGCTTGGTATGATGAAGCTTAAAAGAACAAATGTTCACTGAATACAATTTAGTCGGGTAATTACAAAACTTAAACTCAACAAGGTAGTACTACGATCAGTACTGAAGTACAGAAGAAAATATCTGAGTGGTCTATACTTATGATTAAACCTTTCCTCCATCCTAATGCCACTTTTTCATTGTATACCTAAATATCATACGGTTACATAACCACAACTTAAATAGGAAAGATTTGCTTTTTCCTATTAGATTTAACAGTTTCCTTCAATATCTCAGTTCTACTTCAAAATGAAATCAATAAAGGATTACTGTTAGAAATCTAATCTTTGATTAATACAGTCTAAACAATAATGGTTTCTAACATTCTATTGTTGGCAATATATATGATAATTTAACAATGATAGTAAATAATTTTGAATGTGATTGTCGTCATTATTATTTTTTATTTATTTGAACACGTAAATAATGGTACAAAGGGACACCAAATACATATGCGCCACACAAATCAAGTGATTTGTGTGTGGGATGTGATAGTGACCGTGTGCCCAGACCGAAACATGTGGTTTTCTTAGAGGGCCATACCCCGAGCTTTCGAACTAAAGATCTGATCCACAAGGCGGCGGAGCAACGTCAAAAGATACAGTCCCATGGTAGCCGATGACCAATAGTTGGTTTGTACTCCATTAGTTTCCTTAGGATCCTGGAGCCAACCCATGTGGATCATTGGTTTGGAATCAGGATTTTCTAACTCCCTTAGATGGATCCTTCATATCCACCAAACCAGTTAAAGCGTGACACATTTGCTTCATTATAAATTTGATCAATTTTATTAATGTAGTTCCGAAAATTTAGTTTAATCTATTAATGATAAATTTAAGCAAATTAAAACAAAATTTCTGTATGACAAATAGAAAAATATTCCAATTTATTTAGGAAAATGATAAGCATGTTTATGCAAACAGTCAAGAATTACGAACTGCATTAAAGGTTAGTATTATCTTTCTGAGAATGTTTCACCCCTTCACCCCTCCACCTCAAAAAAATAGTTTTTTTTTCTTTACTCTGTTTCTTCTTTTATCCCCCTTTCCCACATAATTACTGATTTCAAATGCATACCTATACACATTAAACACACAATATGTATTGTGTATGCATGTGTGCATAATATCTGTCAAGACAAATTTACAATGTATATCGAGATTAAAATGAGTTCCCTAACAATGATGTGAAGTGAATGCACCATGTTGCATGTTTCCCTTCTTTTGATCACTTGTGTTGTGTCACGATTGTTATAATTCTGTGTGATTTTCCTGTTTCATGTTTACACTCACTAATAATAACACTTTTATGCTCTTTATCAAGAGTTTCAGTTAGTACAAGTATTATATATTATATAAGGAAATTACTTTTCATCAAACGACCCACCAAGCTATCACAACGTAACCGTAACAATGAACTAAAATGAAACATTTAAATTGATGGTTTGAAGATAGTAGTTTGGTAGTTTGTGTAAATTATTTACCTTGAAGAATACACTGAAAAGCTGTCTCGTCTTAGTCTGAGGCTCCTCTACAGCGAAAGTTTTTAATATCAACTTGGACCCAACCTAAGATCTTTAAGTCTATCAGTAACCACCATTTTAGTGACCAACTTCAAGAAGATTCTCTAACTACTGGAAAAAGAAAATGATGTCTCTTATAGCATTGAAAGATGGTTTATCTGCACATAGAATTCATCAAAAATGAAAATATAAACTTCTGTACTTTATCTGTGTGACCGAATGCCGTCATAATTGCCATTGTATCTGTATATTTTAAGTTGAATTTTACTTGTGGTCGTGGATAAACGCCGTTGATTTGTATCCCAAGACAGGACTAAACAGCCGTTCAGTGTACCACAGTTTTCTAATGATTCTGTATGTTACTTAAGTTCGCTGTGAAAGCGACTTCAATATGTAAATAGTCTGTTTTAAGGAGCTGTCTAAAATGAGTGCACTAACTAGAACGAAACTGTATGTGCTTCAGAGAAGAAATAATGATTTACAGTCAGTAAAATGTTTCATCAAACTTTAACTACTTAATTTATTTCAGTAGTTAAATTTTTTTTAAAAATTAGCCTATGCAACAAGTTACAATTTACTGTCAATCAGAATTAGCTAATAATGAAATATCGATTTTAAATCATAGTAAATCAATAATGTTGTTTTTTCTACCGGAAGCAAGTCCCCACATCCCCTTTTAAAACTCTAATACTACACTATACATTAACCTATGTACATAAATAAATAAATGTCCTTATCGTATATTAGGCAAAGGAGTTTGCAGCGTCAGCTATAGTCGACAGTGTGGTATCCAACAGAGAAACTTATTGGAAAGACGAATTAAATAGTCGAGATACAACTATTCATCCATTAAACATGAATTATCAACAATATTATTTAACAAGAAGTGAACACTCAACACCTAATCTATTGATTAGATCACAAAGTTACCCAACTAATAATTATCATGAACAAAAGAAGCTTTATTTAACATCAGATTTTCTTTCTACCCAACATCAGTTGTCGTCGCAAAAACCGACACGACCAATTAATCCACCACTTCTATCCCCTATGGATCATCATCAAAGACAAGATAAATTAGATGAAAAAAATCAGATAGGTATCCGCCGATTGGATTTAATGAATTCAATAAATCCCGGTGACAAATTTACAGATTATGATCATGGACATTTCAACGATACTGTTGGATATTATAACACAGAGGTAAGGTAATGAAATGATCACGTATAGACTAACAAAGCGCTAAAAAGTAGATAAATGGGTACATACATAGATCTATATTAAATTTCACTTCAACTAATACACCATACATTGCTTGATACCTATATAGCTTGATTGATTTATAAGATGGTTCAACTTAATCCCTTAAATCTATGCATTTTTGTGGTAACAAATGGGTGATTTAGTTTTGTTTTTCATTTTTACCTATACTGGAATCCAGTTATAACAATGTTTAATCACATTACCGAATTGCAGAAATAATAAGGTACTTGATATTTTCGGTATTAAGTTACCTTACATTGTTATTTCTTCGGGATAGTTTCAGTATCCAATTAAACATTGATACTTGGCAAACTTTGGTAATGATGCTGATATTGTTATTAAACTGAATATTCAAGGCATGTTTATCAAATTGTCTTCAAGAAATTTCTTTATTATCGTCAATAGTGTTTAACGAATTACCAAAGACCTAAGTAAATAAATAGACATATTCTCTATAAATCATGATTTAGAAACTGAACAAAAAAGTTAATCTTTCCACAGATGATCATCCAGAGGAATACTGTGAGCTTCACTACTAACTGCTTCTTTGTCTAACTATGTGGTTGTTAATAGTAACAGTAATCAATATCAATTCAAATATTAAATATATACTGTTTACAGTTGTAAAATTAAACAAACCAATGATGATACAACTATCAAGTTGTAAATTTTCAATACTATCGAGTCAGCAATCAAACATTTCTAGAAGACGGAGCTGGTGTCTCAATCTCGTAGGTTGGTTGAAGTTAGATATTAACACCGTTGAAAGCCGGCCGACTCAATGGTCTAAAGGTTAAGCGTTCGAGCGCAAGAATAATAAATCCTATGTTCGAATCTTACGAGGCGGGATCGTGGTTACGCACTACTAAGAATTCCTTTGATAGGACGAAACGACCGTTTAGTGCTTCTAGGTTTTCCATGGTGGTCTAGCTTCAATTGACTCATGAAATCAACTGTAAAATTCTCCACAACCCTCCCCCATATGGTAATTTCTAGAAGAGTTTGCTTCCTTCATAACTAAACATAACACCATTATATGGCTATATGTTGTATCATTTTAATTAACTAACCAATATATCTTTCATTATTTTTTTAATTTTGTGTTTTAAATGCAAATAATCCATGATAGCTGCTTGCCTTCTTTATGTTTCTTTTGAAGTTAGAATGACTCTATGTTTCTGATGCATCATTTATATTTACATACTTATTTACTTATCTAATAAAGAATACCCAGAACATAAATTGATTCTTTATGAAACAGTCTTTTTTCTCATCTACTTACTGATGAATTACAAGTCTAACAATGATATGGTATTGATATAGAGCTTTGTAACATTATATTACTAACTAACACAAATTTAAGTAGTATATTGAGACGTAGATAGCTTGTCTTATTTATCCAAGTTTATCTAGATTCAGTGTTGAATTATCATTACTTTCATTTGCTTCAAGTTCATTCAAATAACTTCAATGACTTCTGAAAGAATTTCATAATAATAGAGTCACCTCTTGTAATATATATATTGTCGGAATGACATATTTTCTTACTAATATCAGAGGTTTATGACGGATGATGTTCACACCGTAAAGATATGTTAAAGTACAGACTGACTTCATCTAGAATCATCATTGAAAATCAGAAAATACCTGGAAGTGGTTTAGTTTTTTTTTCATGGTAAATTTCTGGTATACTGGGTGTAAGATGTGAGGTAATTGACGATGAATGAATAATATCTCATCTAAGAAACGTGAACTAATTGATGTCATATTGAAGGTTGAATACATAATCCAACCGCTTTAGGTTCTGTGGCGAGGCTATAATCTATAGACGAGCCAATCAGATTTATGATAGCAGGTCTCGGATTTTGGCTAAATACCAATTCGGCATTATAGCTGATGTCAGTTCGTGATGAAAACATTAAATATAATTTTTAACCCGAACGTTCAACTGTAAATCCTAATCCTATTCTCTCGCACTAATTTATAACCCTTATTTAACCCTAGTAAGTAGATGGATATTTCCAAGGCTATTGTAGTGTTGCTCAATGGTCGTCCATAAATTATGGTCTCACCAGGTTTACATTTGATTTCTTTCATAAATTTGTGTTTGCGCTGATGAGGAACCTTATACTATGGCATGAGCTATCTGGTTACCAGTGGTTTTCTAGTCGAATTTAGTCTTTAATGTAGATAGTCATTTAATTTGTTTTCCTTTCCTGAATCGACTAAACTATTAATGTTTATAGAAAATATAGTATAACCATCGTTATAATTATCGTTTCATTACAGTAGACAATGATCTTTTGTAAGGATAAACTAAATATATTTCAAAGAGAACAAGAACGAAGATTAGTGCAGATTGGTGCACCCAGTTATTGAAGAAGAGAAGTAAGGCTCGTTTAAATCTAAACTAGTTGATATCGGAAACTCATACCACAGTCTAAGTTTTTATCCAAAGACCACCTAACAACATTATGAACTGTACCAATCTTCGCTCTTGCTCTTTTTAAGGTCATAAAGGGAACTATGAGTATGAAATATATTTCATTTATGTACAATGTAACACATTGATAAAGTAATTTAACTGTATACAGTCAACGTTACTCATAAAGAAACGCCAGAAATGGTTTTTGAATAATGAGATATTGCTTAGTAGAATCTAGCAGTGTGTAAACTCTTCATTTGATCTGTAATGTGTTATGCTAATTCTAAATGTGCTCCAAATATACTCTGACAGAAAATTTAACGCTCAATAATCTCATACAACTGTCGGTTATTGAAAGTTAATTATCATGTATACATGTTATGTGTAAAATGGTTTACTTAATACGATCTCTTTCTTACACTTGGTCTCTGAAATGACAATATAGAAACGCCATATTTTCATTTCCAAATTAAACATTCTTCTTTTTCATTAATAAAGTATACTGAATGGCTTTTGCCTAGAAAGATCATCTTTTGGACAGAAGTTTACTGACTACAGATTTTAACATTTACTCTACAAAACTGACGTGATTGAACTTGTGATTCAATACATCTACACATTGGCATTCATTTCATACAGTAATAATCGATAAAGATTAACCTAAGGAACTTATTAAAACCCTATGTCTATTCCATGAGCCTTTCTTGTCTTTAACAAGAAGTTTTCTGGATCACCCTTAACAATTATTTTTCTTTAGATCATAAAGATTTTCTAAATTAAGGAATGAATTTATAATAACATTAACACCGTTGGATACCGGCTTAGTGATCTAGTTGGTTAAGCACCTGGTGCAAGACTGATAGGTCCTGTGTTCGGATCTTGCAGTGTGTGAGGTCGTGGATGCGCACTGCCGAGGAGTCCCATACTAGGACGAAACGGCCATCCAGTGCTTCCAGGTTTTCCATGGTTGTCTAGCTTCAATTGACTCATGATTTCAATCCAAAAAGAATAAAAGTTCAACTAGACAGGTTAAATGTAAGTCGTAACAAATAAAAATGAAGTACATTAAAAACAATATGATAATCATTCTGGATAATAAATCATTATTACCAGGTTAGGTTAAGAGTAAGAGCCAATCGTTTTTGAACATATAAAGGGGATTTCAGTTTCTGTATAGCCAAAGATTCAATAAACCTTAGTATATATCCCTGAAAGATTTTGTGCAACATTACAAAAGCTGACTCGATATCAACCTAATGACTAATCTCAACTAAATGTTTCGCAATGTCAAAATCACTTAAGTGGTTAACATCAATTGGCATGTATCCATAGGCTTTTATTTTGTTTTAAAAAGCATGATATTTCCGTTCATCCGTCATGAATAGTTAAGAAAAGTTTGCATTTAATACTTGTATATGTATTGTAATGTATCATTTTTAATAATAATCCTAACATTATGTTTTCTTTTAACGAACGGTTTATACTACTGAATTAACTACTTGTTAAATTCACTTATTTAACCATTAATAACTTGTTTATTTACCTGTTAAGTTTCACTACTAACAAAATATTTTTATCAGTATGCTATTTTAATTTAATGCTTGCCATTTTGACTCATTTTCATAGTTAGAATAGAAAATCCATCAATTATTCCTTTTTGTGATATTAACCTTCCATTCCACAGTGCTTAGTAGCGTAAATGATAATTCTATTGAATGTTCAAGCTTGATAATGTTATATGTTGAGATTATTTTATCATTATAATCGTTATTAATGTTGCCTATGATTAAATCTAGTTATTCTTAGTACTTATATACCCGTTTCCTTGTATCACTGTGAATTACATCACATATAATAATCTATCAAAATAAAGCCATTATCAATTCAATATCAACCAAATCATTCGTATACAATGAGATCAGAGAGAAGAATTGTATCACCTGGAAGTTTGGATAGAAGATATCCACAAGAATATGATCAATATTATTCATCACCTGAAGCACGTCGTGTACAAACAATGAGAGTAAGAAATTGAATAATAACTATACATATATTAATAATCCTTATCAAAGTTAATATGAAGTAGAGCTGAACTAGTATTGTTAACTAATATTCAAATCATATCTAGTTCATTTGAACCAGTATACAAACATCTTTCAATATTAATTGTAATATCAAAGTCAAAGGAATTATCAAATATTAAGTGTTTTATGCAATATGAATGTCATGATTCAGTTAACACAACTTCAAAGATCCTTAAAAATTGTTAGATAAAATATATACTATTGAATAATTAGTGAATAGTATATCTTGAAAGAGTTCAATTTAGAATTAACTGTAGCTACACAATACATCTCCCATCCTTACTAATCACATTGAAGCAGTGTTTTTTTACTGCTATGGAGTTTCAATCTCTTTGACTCTGTATTCGGATACTTTGTGATGAAAACAAAGTTGAATATTTCGTTAACTTTTTGCCAAAAATGTGTATTGAGTACTTTTGGTAATGACAAGATACAGAATATTCAATTTTTACTTCCAAAACTGTGTGTAAAACCCATTTTTTTCTTGCTTGGTACTTCCAAAATGAAATAGTATGATATATTCAGCGGTTGGTTTTTTCCCTGAAACTAAATATTAAAACAGAACACCTGTTCATTGACTTACAGTCATCCTTTGCTCTTGCCATATATTATGTAAGATAGACTAATTCTTCCATTCTTGAATTACCTCTTGATGAATAAACTTGGGAAACAATGTTTTAATATCCAAAATATACTACTTATATCCTCTCAGTAGTTGCATTTTTGTATCGGCAGATATATTACTATCTAGTCCTTCTGTTGTTGTTAATTAATTCAAAATGAATTTGTCCTTATTCCTACATGATTTCAATGTTAATAATGGAGAAACATTTACCAAGCATCATGATTTTTCACATCTCATGGTGTAAATGAATCATCTAACAACGCTATCGATGAGTGATCGCTTCATTTCAGATTTGGTTGCTGCTTCTTAAATGACCTTAAAATTAATCAGAAGTAAGGATATAATTATTTTTTTGATTGACATATCAAACAAGGACAACAGTTTTTCATCATCGAGATTATGAGTGTACACTACTGAAGAATTTCAGTAATAAGAATGATAATAAATAACAATTATAATAATCCTCCATAGTTTTTTAGTTCATGTTAAGATAAGCTACTGACATGATTTCAAAACTATAACCCCACTTCATAGAAATATAAACATATTTATTTCATTAATGATGAGTTCTCTTGTGAAAATAATGTTAAACAGCTTGCCTTGACCAGTATGCTTACAAAAGATGTTAATGGTGATTGACCCACACAAAATTTTGTCTACCCCAAACCTACTCAATTACAAATGAATACCAGATTACATAATTATGAACCTTAATTTTTAAACACTTAAGGGATGTCCGCTTCTCACTATAACTCCAGGAGTATCTCCTGAAATCAGTCACTAGTAAGCAGGTGATTATTATCAGAATGGGTTTTGTGAAGGTTTTAGAAATTTCACTAGTTGAAATCATGAGTCAATTGAAGCTACACCACCATGGAAAACCTAAAAATAATGGTGTACGGTGGCGCAACTTCGTGGATTGGTTGGAGTCAGACATTAACTCCGTTGGATGCCGGCTCAGTGGTCTAGCTGGTTAAGCGCCTGGCGCGAGACTGATTGGTCCTGAGTTCAAGTCTTGCGGGGTGCGGGATCGTGGATGCGCAGTGCTGAGGAGTCTCATACTAGGACGGAACGGCCATCCAGTGCTTCCAGATTTTCCATGATTTCAATCAGTGACATTTCTAAAATCTCCACTTAAAGGGTTGTGTCAACAATTACCGAGTTACGTGAAAGCTTACTATTAGAGAAAGATAACAATAAAGCGAACCGAATATATTTAGTAGATACATAACAATGATAATTACACTAAATCTTTATAGAATAGTTCCCGAATTTTCACATGTATGAACGGACTCACATGTTCTCAACCTGAAACTTCATAATTTTTTGTTCTCATTCTCTTTTCATTGATCTTCATAACTTTCTGTCACTAGACATTTCACTTTCGACTGATGATACATACTACTTATATCTATCGATATCAATAGTACACATGACAAAACCACCTTGATCAATTCGTTTGTTCATTTTAGTAAGAGACATACCTTAACAACTTACTAGAAGTTTAATGATTAAAAAACATACTGTATACAGAGCATTGTTCTTGTAATTGTTTTTTATTAATTTTGTAAAACTGACATTTTGCTAATATGATTACAGTAGTAGTAGTCTTATAAGTAGTATCGTCACATCTAATGATTTTAAACTGATGTTATTTCTTTTTTGTAGTATTCACTAGTGAATCACTGATATTCTGATTATTCTTTCCTTCTTTAAGGATCATTTTGTTCCCTCCCCGTTTTTTAATTTGATTTACTCCAACTGATAATTTTTTTGGTTAGCGTGTTTTTCAGCGAGTTAGTTTTCTACGGGATACGGTCGCTTAACACATGTCCAACCCCCTCGCCCATTACCCGGGCTTGGGACCGGCAGTAACTCTAGAAGAGCTAAAGGCGGCTACCGGTGACCATATCACATTGAAAGCACCGGTTCTTGTCCGATTACAACAAGCTGATAAAGATTGTTAATTAAGTGTGATTGATTTTGTGTAAACATTTTGGAATGATTTGTGTAAACTGGTAATAAAGACAACAAATGGATATTGATTTGAAGTAAATTACCAAGTCAAAGACTTCTGACAATTTGGTTCTGTATATACAAATACAATCGATCACTAAGTAGTAAACAATGTTTGTGTGTGTTTGCTTTATCAATTAGTTGTACTGTGATAATTGTCTTAAATGACTTAATATTGCTTGTCCTATATTGTAGTGTTAGGTGATGGTAAATAGTTGATGGGAAACCCTGATTTGTTTTTGTTCATATTAGTTTAGATTCATCCCAAATTAGATCATGTACCTGCAATGATAAGGAGTTACATACTGGCATGGAAGAGCTATAAAGTGATTTCAGGGTTTTGTTTTAGTGGTTTTATAGCTTATATCAGTCATGAATACAAATTATAAAGATCAACAATCTTCACAAATCTCCCATACTATATATCCATTAATAACTTTAATAAAACCTTAATCTTTATCATTATCTTTATAATTATGATTTAAACAATGCTTAGATTATCTTTTACTGTCTTCTATCTATGCTATGTGTGTTATCTTTTAATACACTGGTGTTATTCCATATATTCTTTATTATTGCTAACAATTATCATCATGTAAGTTCGTGTCATGCATTATAAAACTTATACAATAAATTGTTTTTTGATAAACAAAAATGGATGGTGGCTAGCGATAGAATCCAAGACTTGCGTCTCATCCTATTTTGGGACTCGTCAACTGGATGTGCCTGCATCTTGGGATTGTTGTTGACTCCCAGACTTGAACTCTAGGATGTAGGCGCATCCGTCTGATAAGTGCAAAATAGGACGAAAAGTGCGTCTTGAATTTCACTGCGAGCCACTATCCATCTCTATTTATAATGCTTGTAATTTAATAGCCATATCAAGGCAATCCGCATAGGATACACATATGCCAATAACAGTGGCTGATCAATTACAATCTTAAACATCATTGGAAAGATTCAAACAACCAATACAAAAATGTAATCATTAATTGTTAAAATGGTAACAGTAGTTATGACAGTCTTCAAATCCAATAAATTTTGAATTATCTGTAAAGAGAACAATTGTCTTGAGATGATTGAGAAGATTTGTAGCTCAGATAGATGATTTTGATGAAGTTTTGTTCTCTGGGAACAACTATATTTTCTCCATGTCACGACCAAACCATCCAGCTCAGAGAACAAAACTCCATCAACAAAAATTGTCTTTCTGTCATAATTTTCACTCTACATGAATAAATCAAGATACTTAGTTCTATACTAAATGATCTATTAAATATATTTATTATAGTTTGTATTCCATATCTATGTGGTATGTAAATACATCTGGCCAACAAGTCATAAATAAGATGAGATTTGATTCCTAGATCCTAGTGCTGGCTTCTATCAAGATTTAATCAATAATATGTCGGTTCATCAAAAGAACTACATAGAAAGCATTGCTTGATTTAGATCTCGTATTAGTTTTGAACTTGTATTAGCTATCTTGAGAAAATAAGACCGTCCAACGGGACTCAAACTTACATCATACAATGTCTTTCTGAAATATAGTTAGTTCCCTTCGTAAATTAAAAGGAAATACAATGACAACAATTTTTGCAAACACTTTAGTTCTCTACAATTAAAAATATAAAACTTCACAAATATTTTAAAGCTTAACTCTAATGTTCCTTGCCTTTAATGCGTACAATTGAACGGCAAATGAAAGATACACTTGTTAGTAGAGGAATGTGATAGATTAATTGATTATAAAGAATATCAAATATCTATGCTCTAATCCCATTATAAGCTTACGTGGTTGGTGCAGAATAACAAAACAGTTCGATTGTACACCTACATGAAGGTCTCAGTCCATATACTCTTATCTTAGTCAGAACTGTCAGTTAAGATTTCCTACCGAATATCAGTTCTTTTATTTACTTAATGAGTTTAATATACCACAGGAAGGAAATATCGTAAATACATTGAACTGTAAAAGATAAATGGACAATCATTAATCTTTTAAATCTAAGTATGATTAGATAAACAAAGTGATTATTCAACACCGTTGGATGCCAACCGGTTCAGTAGTCGAGTGGTTAAGCACTTGCGCGAGAGACTGATAGATCCTGGGTTCCAATCCCGTGAGGCGGAGTCGTGGATGCGCACTGCCGAGAAGTCCCATACTAGGACGAAACGGCCATCCAGTGCTTCCAGATTTTCCATGGTTGTCTAGTTTCAATTGACTCATGATCTCAACTAATGAACTTACTAAAATCTCCACAAAACCCCCCTTCTGATTCATATTATTTATGTTTACATAATCATTGTATATGTATTTTTCTAATCTATTTAGTATACAGATTATCCAACAAGACCTCGTGTTTATCAACCAACATATCAAGCCGCAACTATGTCATTTAATGAATTTGATCATCATTATAATAATGGTGGTACAATAAAACCGCGTAAACCAAAAATTATTACAGAACGATATAAATGTAGTGAAGTATATAATTGGCCACCGAAATTTCCAAAATTAAAACGACATAAAACTAATCCACCAAAACAAATACATACTGCACAAGATCATATTGTAATTAAACAACAATTAAAAACTACAGCAGGAAATAATTATTCACCTACAGTTCAACAAAAAGAACCAAATACAGAACAAATACATTGTACTAAGGTTAGTGAATTTAAGATAATGGAATATAGTTTGTAGGATATATCTTCGTAGGGAAATTCATGTTTTCAATAGTGATCTAACATCAATCGGTTCATGATCTTAATCAAAAAAACATGTTACTATGGATATTTTTATTTGACTGTTTATTATTATTGATTTATTTAAACACATAAACATTGGTACAAAAGGACACCAAACACATTTGCACCACATTAATCATTCGATTTGTTTGAGGGCTAGGTTACTACCCGGGTGATCAAACCGAAACAGGTGGTTTTCTTAGGGTATCACACCCGGAGCTTTCGACCTATAGGTCTGATCCACAAGGTAGTGGAGCATCGTAAGGTGATGCAGTCACATGGTAGCCGGTGATCAACAATAGGTTTATACGCCGTTTGTTCCTTCAAGATACGGAGCCCATGTGCACGATTGGTTTGGAATCAGAGTTTTTCAACTCTCCTAGGTAGACTCTCCGTGTCTATCAAACCGGTTAAAGAGCCGAACATTCGCTTTCTGTTCTCTCAATAGTATTATAGATGCTCACTGGTAAGAATGACAAGACACCCCTTCACTTTATCAATAAAAGTTTCAAATGACACCTCAATTAAGATTAAGCTGTGGAAAATACGAGCTAAATATATTTGCTTTATGTTTTGTTTGTACAGATAAACAATCAATATCAATCACCGAATTACAAAAGAGAAATAAGTGTTTCGCCAGAACGACAGGTAACTAGTCTTCATTCATTACAAGTAAGTGCTATCGTTATTGTTAATCTATTGCGGTTTTATTAGGTTTTGTAAGAAAGTTAATTTGATTGTGGAGTATTTATTGTCATTATGGAAGATATCATCAAATCTGTTATATCCTTGTTTTATCTACTCACTAGTATGTTTTGATGTTGTGTTCAGCGTTGACGTAATAGCAGATATGTTATAACCATGAGACTTGTACCACGTGAATTCCATTTGTGAATGAACTACTTTGAAATCAGAGAGAAGAAACTATCCCACTGCTGACCTGATTGGTTGGGAAGCCGAATGGGAAGATAATTTAATTGGAACAATACATCCGACTTACTCCTCATTTGAACAACTCAAAATAGGTATATGAATAAATATATAACTAACAAAACTACAACGTATAAGGAATGAGAAAAATACAACTTTATCCAAACTATGGCTTTAGAAAAAATGAAATACGCTTGCTATCTAGAACACTGATCCGGCATCCAGCGGTGTTAGCATCTAACCACAATCGATTCACGGCATCGTGCCACCATCCTTGGTTGTCTTTGGTGGATGTCTCACACCTGACATACATTAGCTCCACCTTATACAACCATCATGATTGGTATTGTCACTTAAGACATTAGTAGAATAATCGATTTATCTCATTGATTAGATCTCATACATCTAATAACATTGGGAATCGTTTTTATTGTGTTTATGTCTTATTAACACGTTCTAACAAAGGACTGATGTTCTTATTCGGTATCTGGAGCCAAACTTATTGTCACAAGACTTATAATAATCAGCCACCTAAGTCAAATCTTGGCAGAACTCAATTCATCTGCGTTTTATTATAATCAAAGAAGTAATTATTAACGATAATGGGCCTCGACCTACTTAATTATATTATGTAAATATTATATATACATGGTAGTGGAAACAATTATTTTCACCATTACTCGAATAGATCATAATATTCAAGATCGACCCATTAACATACAACACAAGACTTATGATAAGTCTTGCGGATTGAACTCTATATTCGTTTCCTAAGCTATTCTGTAACCCCCAAGCTAGAACTATACAACAACCTGAACACGAGAGAGAAGACGCAAATTATGCAAGAAGTACTTTACTTCAAAGGTTCATTTTTGTACAGAGAAACAAGGGAATTTATAGATGTTAACATTTGTTAAATCAACATCATTTTGGCCAATCCGCTAAAAGACATATTATGCTACTGAACAATAGTAGCACGCCACGTTAATATTCTAGAGTGCTCCATCATGCTCTGATTGACTAGGACTCTTCGGCTCCTTTAGGGTTTCAGGAGGCTCCGTTGCAGTTCTCAGAAAACCGACTAAACAACTTATACATAGTATAACATTTAACGTTGACAGAAATTACTAAAATGTACCCCCCTGATATTATTACGTAAATAAACCATATACACACGAACTTTTAGTAAAATAAACTAAATATTGTTTTCTTATTTCCTTTTTAATCTCTTTTTCACAGAGATCGACTCTGTTAGAAAAATCTAATCGAACACCGGGCACAGAGACACGTGATCAATTATTTATAGCAGATTACAAACTAACACCAAACAATCAGGTATTTTCATTAGAAAAATATAGAGGTCTATTTTGTTTTTGATATTTCGATAAGTAGAAATTAGAATGTGTTAATGTTTCGTGACTTAATATAAGCTACATTTTCAGAGTAAATAAATAAATGACCGGATTGAATTAGGGTCGGTTTAAATAGTGTGAAGGAACAGGGAGGTTAAGTGTTTACTTGCGAGATTGAAGGCAGTGGATTCGACTCCCAGATCCAGGGTTGTAGATGAGCACTATCGATGAGTTTGATGGAGTTTTGTTCTCTGAGCTGAATGGTTTGATCGTGAAGCTTTCATCATTCTTCTAAACGACATAATCGGCACAAACGTCAGGTAGAAGTCTTTATGAAACATCACCATCTTTAGTTGTATGTGTCTTAGTAGATGTTTAAATTGTTAAATCTGTAGTTGAAGAAGTAAAGCTGAAATTTGCGTGAGTGTATGGTGTGAAAAATGAATAAAATTAAATGTGGTTGTTTGTATAAATAGTTTAGGTTGTATGGATAGTCAGGCTTCTGTTTCTTTTTAGGTTAAAGAGATTTAGCGTTTCTATGGGATGTCTCAGTGACACGTTTCGGTCTATGATTAAAAAAGTCTGTGTAATATTCTGATATTTTCAATATTGATTTTTTAGTTGCTGAGAATAGCATATACTGTTATTTTTAATTTGATTCTCGGATTTTTCCAGTTCAGTCAAATTATTAGCAGATAGATTCGTGCGAATTAAGTTTTCGTTGATACAACGGAAGAGGTCCTGAAAACATTCTCATCCGGCATTGTTTAACACTTTGATATCTTTCAAGTCTTTAAATCTCTATCTCTTCTCTATGTATTTGTATGCATAAAATTTGTAGCAATCTCACTATTCATTCATCCATTGGATACTGCATTTACGAAAAAAAGATAATTTACTCATTTACTCGTTTAGTTTATCTGAATAATAATTTCTTCTCATTAGAGAATAGTTAAGCTCTCAATTGTTTACTGTATACTAATTATATCAAATAAACTTTGAATGCCTATTACCACTCGTCGAAGAACATAGGGCGACCACCAGCATTCTCCATCCAACTCTGTCCTGGACAACCCTTTCCAGTTTCTATTCATCATTTTCATGTCTGCTTTCAATTCTCAACGCAGTGTATTCTTTTTTCTTCCACTTTTCCGTTTCCCTTCAGCATTCCAGGTTAGCGCTTGTTTCGTGATTCAGTTTGATGATTTCCGTAACGTGTGTCCTATCCACTTACAACATCTTTCCCTAATTTCCTCCTCCGCTGGAAGCTTGTTCGTCCTTTTCCACAGTAGGTTGGTGTTGATGGTATCCGACCAACGTTCACTGATTGTCTTGAGTTGACGACTGTTTGGAAATACTTGTACATTCTTGATGATGGTTGTGATAGTTCTTCAAGTTTCAGCTCCGTACAGTAGGAACTGTCATGACACTCTCATTGAAGGCTCTAGCTTTGATTTCGGCTGACAGTTGTTTTGAGTTCTATATATACTTCAGTTGTAGGAATGCCTTCCTTGCTATCCCAATCCATACATTCACGTCTGCATTAGATCCTCCTTGTTCATTGATGATGCTGCCGGTGTAAGTAACCTTCTCCACCACTTCCAGAGCTTCTCCACCAAGTGTGATCTAGTTGGTGTTTCCTGTGCTGAACATCGGGATCTTTCGTTTTTCTTTGTGTATGCTGAGGCTTACTGCTCTAGATGTTGCTGCTAAACTGTTTGTCTTGACTTTCACTTGTTGGTGTGTATGAGATAGAAGGGCTAGGCCATTTGCAAAGTCAAATCGTCACGATGCATCCAAACTGTGCATTGTATTCCGTGCTTCTACTGAGATACTGAGGTCTACATAATCCAATCGACCAACTGAAGAAGGAGAAAAGGTGAGTGTAAGCAGCCTTGTCTGAAGACGTTCTTCACTTGGACTGCATCTGCCAGCTGTCCTCCATGCACCAATTTGCAGTATGGTCCGTCGTTTAGGTTACGTATGATTTTGAGGTACGCCATGGTCTCGAACAAGGTTCCACAAATTTCTCTTATTCACACTGTCAAATACTTTCTCATACTCAAAGAAGTTGATATATAATGACGAGTTCCATTGGACTGACTTCTCAACTATGATCCGTAGTGTCGTGATTTGGTCTAAGCACGACCGATCCTTACGGAATCCAGACTGTTGATCTTTAAGTTGGTCGTCTACAAAACCTTTCATCCGGTTCAGCAGCACTCTATTGAAAACACTTCCTGGTACCGATAGTGATGTGATGCCTCTGTAGTTCCCACACTTGCTCAGATTTCCGTTCTTTGATATATTGTCGAGGTGTCCTTCCTTTCTTCCTCCCAAATCTTCCTGAATAGAATGTGGAGCATTTTTGCAGTTACTTTTGTGTCTGAATTTAGTGATTAACTGGTACATTGTCAGGTCCTGCTACTTAACCACTCTTAATTTTTTTGGTAGCCATCCTGATTACTTAGTGGTGTGATATGTACTAGAAGTTCTGTGTGTAATGCTTCGATGTCCAATGGGTTCAGTTCTCATAAAACTGATCTTTGTCGTCTACGTTGCTATCATTGGTGGGAACATAGGTCCGGATGGAGTTCTTTCTAATCCCCTTTTTCATTGTTTAGAAGGATGTCTTGATGATTCTAGATCCATGAGCTTCCCATCTCATAAATTCTGTTAGTGCCTCTTTGGACAGCATCAGTGTAACTCTTTGTATGTGCGAAATATTTCCTTCTTCATGACCAGAGTACGACAGCATCTCTTCCAAATCTAATGCTTTCTGCTCAGCCTGTGTCCATTAGGTTTTACTTATTCCGAGTATCACCAATTTGTATCCTCTAATTTCCACAGCTACTTAATTGGCCATTTCGGCCTTCCATATTATACGGACATTCTATATACCTATATTAACTGTTGATCTGGTTGTCAAAACAGGTATCAGCCTTGTGGTATCTGATAAATGCCAGTTTTCTCCGTGAGGCGTTATAACCCTTCTAGTATGAATATCATTCAACTCCCATGTCAGGGTTTGAATCGTTCACATGGTTTTGTTTGTGGTAAGCCTTCTTTAGCAAGATTGTCTCCTACCAAATGGTGTTGCTAATCCCATTTTCAGCTCTCCTCTTTTATTTGGGTTCCGAACCGACAGTAGCCTTAGAAACGCTCCAAGTGAAGGTATGAACGTATTTTACAGAATATTATTCTAGTCCAATAAGTGAATGTTAAAGCGTTTGCAAATGACAACCTAACTGGAATTTAAACATATTTTATACATTATTAATAAATGGTTTGATGTAAAAAAACAAATGCTAAACATTTCAAATCTTTCATTTTGCACTCTTTATGAGATATCAATCTTTTTAGGAGAATATTACATCACAGAGTGAAACTGACTGAAGAAATATCAAAAACTAACTAGTGTTATCTAATCCTACTTAATTGTTCATTGTACCTCAAATAAATTCAATCCATAATGAATACCTTCTATAAATTAAAATAATCTTCAACAAATCTTTATTTGTAATCAAAGAGGAGTTTTGTGAATATTATAGTAATTTTAATAGTTGAATTCATGACTTAATTGAAGTTAGACCATAATGAAAAACCTGGAAGCATTGAATGGCCGCTTGATCCTAGCATGAGACTCCTCAGCAGTGCGCACCCATGGTCTCACCTCGCAGGACTCGAACCCAGGACCTATCAGTTCCATTCTCGAGCGCTTAACCTCTAGACCACTGAACCGGTTAGCATCCAACGGTGTTAATGTTTAACTTCAACCAATTGACGAAGTTGAGCCACTGTCCACCATTGTCATCAGTGAGTTACTATCTCACAACAGACCCAGTTAAACTTCACTGATCACTGTTTCGCACTAGAACTCCAGGATTTTGTTTCTAGTGTGTGTTTTTTTTCCTTTTATTATGTGTCAACAAATAAATCTTCACTCCTCATAAACAGTACTATTACTACTAATAATAATAATAATAATAAACCTATATATTCACTTTAATAAATTAGACATCTTCAGTGCTTATTCGTTACAAACCACAGGTAAACACATTGAATATAATCCTATCACTATGTTTTATAAACAATTACACTTCTTCAATGAATTAAGTTGATTAGGATGTTCTTTTCTTATATTCAACATATAACATAATATATTCTTAATAATGGTGTTTGATGAAGGTGAAGTTTCTCCGCCCATAATATTGTTTTAATATAATGACTCTTTAATGATTTCTTAAAACATCATCTTATTGGATAGATTGAACGTTTTTGTATTATACAAAATACTAACCGCGTTAGATTTCAAATTTATTAGTATTGCTTTAGTTGCTTTATTACTATTATTATTTTATCCTTGAAACTTATGATCATTTGTTCCGTTTCCATGATCAATGATCAATAGTACAGCGGTAATTTCCATCTCAACATTCGCATCGGTGAGTCTATAATTCATGGACGACCTTTGGGCGACACTAAAGTGACCTTGAGCGACCGCTATCTAATAACTAGGACCAAATGAAGATTATAAACCAGTGTAAGGAATACGAATTATGATGTACAGTTGATAGTTAGGGCTAGGAATTATGATTTAGGTTTTTCATCACGACATCATGACATCAGCTATAATGCCAAAACTCTATTTAACCAAATGGAAAAGTGAATTTCGCGCCAAAATTCGAGACCAGTATTCTTATGTCTGACTGGTTTGTTCATAAATTATAGTCTCTCTGTACCACATGATAAGGAAGGAATGTTTAGTTTTCTATGTTCAACTACAATGGTCTTAGTTAATTTATTCTATATTTTAAGAACGTATGAATTACATAATTATTCTTCGAAGACATTTTGACATTGAATATTATTTATTCAAATGAATTTTTCAAATCTGTTCTCGAACTTAGCATAGGCAAATTGTTCCATGTTATTCAATATTCATTTACAAGATGTACGTACAATCCACAGGAAACTTATCCT